GCTTTGAGAGAGCACACGCGTGACTGCAATAGTGAGGCATTTCATCGCACCACCTAAGCATGATGTCTTCAGCCTCACACTGCTCTGGGAAGGAACAAACCTCTTTTTTTTATCTTTATTTTAAAATTATTTTTAGTGTTTTAAGCGATGAGAACTGTGAATGAGTAGCTGAAACCCTGAATTAATTGATTAGAAGTTTGATGGTGATACAGTTGTAATTCTGTGAAGATGCAGAATTTGGCCGTTAACTTTCCTAAGCACACCCAGTGGTGCAGTGGCTAATTTTTAAAATGTGTGCTAGTCAAATGGCTACTGTTATATTGAACAGTAAGATGTGGTGATGTTTCACTTTGTCAGGACATGCTCTTATCAAAAGTAGCTTCAGACTTAAGCCAATTTCCTTAGCATTTGCTGGGATTACATATACAACAGCATGAACCCCATAATTTTCCTGCAAGCTGTAAGACTTGTGAGTTTGTTTGTTTATTATAAGCTTTGACACTGAGATCTACGGCAATCGGGAAAGATTTATTGGCCCCAGACCAAAGCGATCAGATTCCGATAAAGTCATGGGACAGACGGCAAGCTTTAGAGGAGCGAGAGGGAGCGGCAGCGGCAGCCTGCGGGTCATTCTCAGCAGTCTGGGCTGCTGTTTTGTCAGCTTGGAGGTCTGCACCCCTGCAGCCCTATGCTACAGCCCATTTGTGGCTCCGGTGACGGGCTAAAAGAAGAACAGAGAGAGAACAGGCAACAGTTATCACAGTTCGGCCTGCAGTGACGTCCCCGCGCGTGTGGCCCTTCCCAACCTTGGCACCAACACTAAGAGCTTCCTGTTTCGTTTTCTTGGTTCCTCTGTGGACTGAAAGGGGGGTGGTGATGTGACCCTTCCTCGGGAAAACCGGGGGGGCATGCGTTCATGTTTTTTTTGGAGCACTAACATGGGCTAAGCTGCCTCGCCACATTGATGTCTGATCAAAGCTGTTTTCCATCTCTGTGATTCCCCCCCCCCCCCCGAAGAACGGCTTTGCCCTGTGAGGGGGAGGTGGTGTCTGTGGCCATGCTGTGGCTGAAGTGTGTCACACGTCGCTGTATCTGCCGTGCTGGGGATGGTTTCAAACGTGGATCTTAATACAAAGAAAAAGCCAATTTTAATTGTGTGAAGTGATGTAAAGTGCATACGTGGCTTTTAATCTTTGAAAAGAAGCAGGTGGACGGCTTCTTTAATACTTGTACGAATGAATGCCCAGTGTCCTGCGCTCCTGCATTCACGTTCCCATGAACGCTGCGTGTGAATGGGGCCTCTCTCTCCTCCCCCCCCCCACTCACCGGAGGTCCAGCTGCAGTCTCTGACAGAGCCCACATCATCTCTCTCAATCTCGCTCTCTCTCTCTCCTCTCTGTCTCTCTCTAGGTAACGTGGGCCGGGGTGTGCAGTACCGCAGACTGACAGTAGGGGGTGGCAGGGTGCGGGGCCCGCACCAGCTGTCGACTGAGAGCAGGGCCCTCTCCCGGGGAATGCACCATGACCTCAGTGGTGGAATACATCGCCGCCGTGGAGAACCCGCAGCCGGTGAGTCACATCACTGCCGCGTAACGATAACCGGCTATCAGGTCTGACAGAGCGTGACCGGTGCTCGACACGCGTCGTCTGCAGCTCGTGGGTTTGCTTAAGCAGAAGGAGAGTTGCTGTTGAAGAGGGTTAAATACAAATGCAGTAGGCAGATTATTACTTTGAATGTAGTTATTTGTTGTTTGCAGTCACAGCCCCATAGCAAAGTCCATATTGGGTAATGTTCAGACAGTCCCAGTATGCCCCCAGCTATGTGTATCAGGTGAAGATGACACCCCCCCCCCCACCCCAATCCTGATGACATGACAGAGGCTAAAGGATGCAAGGACTATGACATGCACGTAGTCTCCTGGGCGATCTGCATTGTAAGGTTAAGTGAATATTGATGACCAGGTGGGGAGTCCTTTCTGTGAAGGTCCCTGTGGATACGGTGACCGGGTCACGGCGCTAATGCTGTGGGTCCAGATCAGCATCCGGGGTCACCAGGGAGCCTCAGGGGGCCCAAAGAGGAACATCGAGGGGCTGCTCCAGCTCACCCCAGCCCTGCAGGAGGTACCTGCACAGACAATGCTGCTGACCAAGCGCGATTGTGCGCTCCGGGGCCCTAAAAATAATCCTATCACAAATAAGTGTGGGGGGGGTGTGCTTCCTGTCTGCCTGCCACTGCAGCCTCAGTGCTGACAGGAGCAGCCTAACAGGGGCAGGTTGCAGATGGCCCAGACTTACTTCCCCGCCGGTGCTGTAATTTCGTTACTGCCTCTCCTGTGACACCCCGCATGCCCCTCCCTCGCTCCATTAGCCTGTCGCTAGCTGTGCCTGGCACTGCCCTCCCAGCTCATATTCCATGACCGGTTGTCGGGCCCTGGGGTCCTCTTTCGTGGTGCGGCGGGCAGGCAGCAGTGCCGCTAGACCTGCTGCCTCTGAGCTCGTCCTGCATCGCTGGTCACGGAGCATGTGGTTGACACTTTGTTGTGGAATTGTGGTATTTACTGGTGTGGGAGCTTGCAGGCTCCTTAGCTGTGCGGAGACGGAGAGGCGGTCTGCTCAAACTGGTACCACCCAGCCTCCCTTCCTCCCTCCCTCCCTCCCTCCCAGGAAATGAGTTAAAATGGAGTTAGGACACTCAGTCCTCAGGAATTTATGTTACTGTGGAACAATAGCAGAGAATAAAATAATTTCCCCCCAGTCCTCCAGGACGTCGAGCCTCGAATTGCATTTGTCCCTTTGGCGCCATGACATGCGGCTTGCGATGGCGGTGCCCATGCGGGAGACAGAGGTGTGACCGGCATGTCTCTGCCCCCTCCCCCTCCGCAGGAGGAGACGCAGGCTGAAGAGGAGTACCCGGCCGTGATCGTGGAGCCCGTGCCCAGCGCCCACCTGGAGCAATGCTTCGCCGCGCAGGTGCTGGTGTACGACGACGAGACGTACCTGATGCAGGGCGTGGCCGAGGAGCAGGAGGTGGAGACGGAGGCGGTGGAGGCAGGTGAGATGCATGGGGGGGGGCGCGAATGCGGTTTAACCACCATCCTCGGCCAGCAGGGGGGGGTAGCGGTTTAAACCCACAGCTGATCCCGGGATAGGTACTGCCTTAGCACAGTGCTATGAGTTAATACAGCTGGATCATCAAAGCTGCTTTAGATAAACGCTCCATTGAGTAAATGAATAGCTATTTGATTAGGTACAGTAACAACAGGAATGATGATAATTACTCATTAAAAATTTTAATACAGGCAAAATACTAAGATAAAGTAATGCCTTCTGTGTAGTGTTTTAAAGGACTGTCAGCATTGTGTAAACTTTTAAATCCTCCTCTCGTTATTTATACCGAATCATGGGACAGGCTGAGTAATGTATTTTATGATAGGAATAATTCCAGGCCCCAGTTCCATGAACAGAGACTCTTGGCCAATCACGTAGCAGTATTTGCCAGCCTGATACACTCTAGGAAAGCGGCCGATGTCTCTTTGAACATAAGAACTATACAAACGAGAGGAGGCCATTCGGCCCATCGAGCTCGCTTGGGGAAAGCTTAACAAATAGCTCAGAGTTGTTAAAATCTTATCTCGCTCTGATTTAAAGGAACCCAAGGATTCAGCTTGGACTATGTTATCAGGAAGCCTATTCCATACTCTGACTACACGCTGTGTAAATAAGTGCTTCCTTAAATCCAGTTTGAAATGTTCTCCCGCTAATTTACACCTATGGCCACGAGTTGCACTATGTTCGACCTTTAAACTAGCCTCAAGACCAGTGCGCCCTCTCCCATCTCCAAGTATTGATTGGCTGTGCCAATGGATCTCTTTAGCCCTAATGTTCGGCATTCAGTATGAGGACACGCATGAAATCGTTAACAGTGTTAATTGTGTTTGTAAGGCCAACCCACACCGGGCAGCAGCCCTTAGTGAGTGAGTGCTGTGTGCTGTCTCCCTCTTGTGGTCATTATTGGGATGGACGTGTTTTCATTTTCAACCGCGTTAATAATACACTTCCTGTAAATCTGGACTCTGGTCTGTGGGGATCACTGTCCTGTGTGGTCTGGTTATCAAAGGAGCGCAGAGTTTATTACACTGAATTGATGGATTAAAGATATTCTCACAAGGATTTTTTTATGTGTTTGCACTGGAAGGAAAAAAAATTGACCCAGTATAATATCAATGATTACAAAAGAAAACAATTTTGAGGTGAACACAAACAGAAAAACTGCACTGATTGTAGTAATTAGAGTAGTTAACAGAAACAGTACTGGGCAGACTCCAGGTCACCTCACTGAGATGATTTTCTTTTCTGTATGTATGTTTACATGTATGTTTATTGTAGGTACTGCATGATTTTAAAATCATGGAATGGTTACATTAGTTTTGTCAAAGGCGCACTCAAGGCTAAGAGCTCGTCTGAAATGAAGACCAAACAACACACAGGGCCAGGTCGGGCATGACGTAACCCAGCGGATTAGCCAGTAACTGTACAGTCCCAGTCCCAGTCCTGGCTCCGGACTCAGACCTGACTTTTTAAAAAAGAAATATTTATCCAATTGAATAGTCAAATATGCGATATAGTCCATGAATAGTCCAGCTGTGAAACGATGATACGTGTTTGTAGCTTCAGGTCGAACGCCCTGCCAAGCAACTAGAGTTTCGAAAGTTTCTGCACGAAAATTGTAGTAATCAATGTGAACCTGTTGGAGTTTCTCATAAAAACAGTGATGGATGGAAACAGGTGCGGCTTGCTGAGTGCCCACTCCAGGGAGGTCTGGCTTTCTGCACGTGGACGCACACTAGAGAGTGGGTGGAAAATTCCAGGAACACAAGCAGAAACGTAAACAACCGTGTGGTACTGCGTCTGTGAGCTGATTCAGCACTGGGGCGTCTCAAGAATAGTGTGAATTTGAGGTTTTATTTTTTTATCTTTGAATGCTTCTAAAATTATGCATAATACAGTTAAGCAGTGTATCACGAAAATGGTCGTAGCATAAGCGACATAATTTTTACACATAAATGGTGTTCCTGTACTTATTTCATAAAGCCTCGCTTAATCGCTCAAGATTTTCAAATATTTTCTATTCCAGGATTCCTTGGAGTTTGATTTATAGGCACACTTGATAGTCAACCGCCACCAATCTTAAAACATGCAGTATTGTAAAACACTAATCTGACTTCATTAAAAGAACTAGGACTCGATTATCTGATGTTGGGGCGGGGATCGAATGTTGTGTTTGGCTGATAAATTGTGTTTGAGTACGTAAATATTCTTAAGCGTTTTTTTTAATCTATCCATCATTGTTCCATAATTTTCACATAACCGTTAGGCAGAACTGAAGGAACCGGGTAAGAAACTGACCGCCGTGAGACCCAGCGGCCGCTTCGCTCTCTCTCGCTTACCACCACACCGGCCGATCTCCAGTTTGCACGTCTTTAGTAAAGAGCGAACATGAATCGCAGTTTTATATAAATGCGTTGCACACAATCGGTGTGACGCCTGCCGTTGACAACTGGTCGATTATCGCAGGAGATGGACGTTATGCCCCAGATAGGCCTTCTGCTCGGATATAGTGTCCCGACCAAACTGTTGGCATCCTTTAAAGACCTCTCACGGGCTCTCTTTCGTAGCTGTATTAACCTTTACAGCAGCTGAATAAAAATGGATAGGGGGTTTTTACTGATGACGATCACGTGTAATACAATGCAGTCGTCTAATTTGTCGCTGTTTGATGCCGACATGTTTAAAGTAAACGTCAACGTTAGCCTAATGAAATCCCGCCGCTGATCTGCACTGATCGTCAGTCTCTTGTAAGCAAACTACAGACGGGGCAGAAAGTGAGATAGTGTATGTGGGGCGACAGATATTGGTTTTTACGGGGTGTTTGTAGGAGCCGCGCTACGCTTCGCCTGCAGATATGGGCTAACGGGACTGAAGGAGTTCGGAGGATTTCCTGCGTGCGGCGCGGAAGGATCGCGCTTGTTGGTGTGCGCTGCGTCTGGCTGAGTTTGAGGTTATTTCCTGTAGCCGCGGAGTGATCTCAATTGTGCGCCTCTATGCGATTCAATGTAAGTCAACGCGAATCTGAAGCTTTGGAAGAACATGGCGACTTCACTGCATGAGGGACCCGCTAACCAGCTCGATCTGCTCATCAGAGCCGGTAATTCCTGGCGTCCGGTGTGCGCGCTCTGCCTCGCGTGCGATCCCGTCTGCCTTCTGTGCGCCGCCGTGTTGACATTTGTTAAGTTGCGCGGTGAAGCAATGGAGTGCGAAATCAGGAAGTGATCACCTTGGGTAGCAACCTGCATGGCGTTCTCAGCGTTTTCCCAGACCGAGATTGTTTTTAAAAAAGTGTTTTGAGTCGCAGCATTGCACTGTAGCGTGCAGGCGTGCACGCGCCTCCAGCTGCACGGCTTGCTGTTGAAACCAGCGTGCATTTCACCTGTTCTCGCTATTTTAACGGGTTACGGGACTGGCAGCTGCTGGGAAACCAGGAAGTGTGCGAGAAGATGTTGTCTTTCCTACGTCTTTGCCACGCTGTCTGACTCAGACGGACGTGCCGCTTATTTCTAAGTTTTATTTAGGGAATGTTATACATTACGTTATACAAAGCCGTTCTTAAAATATGTCTCTGTCCTAATTATTCGTTTGATTTTTCTAAAAAGCTGTATATTTTTTATAGCTAGCAGGATTTACATAGGTCGCAAGACATGCAACTATATTTTGATAAAAACAGGTGATTTACGAACGAGACTTTTTATGTCTTAATAATATAATGTATCACGTAGTACTTAATTACGTTTTTATAATTATTATATTTTTGATTAATTAAACGGGTATATGTATAATTTTTTAACGGCGAATTCGTTCTAGGCCATTTTTAAATAAACGAGTCCTACGAACATATCGGATTTTCTTTTTTTAACATAAAAATATTAATAAAATAAAGGTGATTTTAGACTGGTTGTGGTTAATTTGATGGCGGAAGCACTGATCCGCCCAGTGGGACGTCTTTTTTGAGTGATGGCTCTACGTGACCAATCGGATTGCAGTCATGTTCGAACTCTTATTTGGCCAATAGGAGCGTTTGGAGCGGAGGGTGGAGCAGAGAGAACCCGCCAATAGCGGCCGGGGCGGGGATGATTGACAGGCAGATTTTAGATCGGCTAATAAGGGATCTGGAGGGAACGAAGGCAGAGTGTAAACACGGAAGTCATAAGGGACGGCACTGCTTTTTTGCAGGACCGCTATGTGCTACAGTTCCATAGTACCCAGATTGTTACACTCTAAAAATGTCAAGTATTTAAATAATATTACGAGATTTTTGCAGAGCAACAGTTTTATTCTTTCCGTGGAAATTGCTCCACAACTCTTAAAAGATGTGTAACTTTATGTTGTTAAGCAAGCAATTTAGTTACAATTTTTTTTTTGTTACAGTGTCTGGTTTTTAGTCCAAGTATGTAAAGAGGCTAAATCCTTAAATGTCCAGCTTTTGGTATTTTTTAAAAATTAAATTTCTTCTAGCAACGCACTTGTCATGTTAGCATAAAAAAAAAATGCAGTTTCTCTGTTTTGTACTGATAAAAATAGGAAATTAAGTTAATGAAAAAATCTATAGTTGCGTAGTCCCATTTATGGTCTGTAGTGAATTTAACACCGTATAAAAATGTCATTATATTTACTGTTTGAAATAAATGCAATCCAAAAGTTGTGCAGTGGAGGGCTCCCCATGCTTCAAGGGCATGTCCGCTTGCCAACACCGTAAGTGCGCATGCTGGGGTCCTCTGTCCTGGGAGGGGTTTGGAAGCTGAAGAGCTTCCTAAACATAGCTCAGGGGATGATAACCAAATATAGATAACCAAAACAGATACCCAAACATGGCCAGAGCAGGGGGGCACAGAGACACTGCGATGGCGGGCAACAGGTGGCCGGATCGACACGCTTAAGGCGCTGGGGGACAGCGGCAGTGCCGGGGGGTGACATGAAGTGGCTTTGCTGCTGGATTACACTTATTAGTAATAGAAAATTCTGGAAGTGACATGCAAAGTAAATGGGAGTCCCAAGTGATTTATAAGGCGAATGGTTAATGATACCCGTGTGTTTATGTGTGTGTGCCAGTGCTCTGCCAGCCATTTTTCTGCCAGCTTACTATTTAACCACTGGTTCAACGCAGTGTTTACCGGGGCAGGCCGGTGTGCTTATCAAGGCAGCATGCACCGCGGTTCAAGAGCCAGAGCACTCCAGAGTTTCAGCAAGCAGCTGTCACAAGCCAGATCAGTGACTCTAACCGCCATGCCACCTGCTGTCCTGAAAGGCTTACATAATGCGTGTTAAATTTACAGCACCTTAGGAACTAGGTCTGTATGGCTGCTTTTTATAGGTATATATTGTATATATGTAAAAAGCATATGTGCAGTTGTGTTGTGTGTTGCGTTCCACGTGTATAATCGTAAGGTTGCCTTAAACACCAGAAATCGAGCAGTTATTAGAAATGTTTAGCTACATATGAAGAGTCAACTGCTAGGTAAATCTGGTGGCTGGTGTCTGCTGAAACTGCATGATGTCATTCATTAATAAGTGTGTAATGGTCAACTGTTTCGCACTCGACTGCCCGTGAGGCCCCAGAGGGGCTGCATTGTCCTGTTTCCACATGATGGGAGATAATTCATGTGCTAAAATGAAAGCTGAGCTGAAATGGAATTTGAGCATTTCAGTGGCGCCCTCTACTGTGCGAGCTCAGCGGTACGCGGCGGATGGTTTAACTGGATATCCACCGTGTCAAATTACAGAAGTTTAACAGTGTAACTGAATTGGCTTTTACATATGCCAGCATGTTTAATGAGTCAGTATTTTCACATATTTATAATAACAAATGTAAATCTTAACGACTGACAGTTGATATCTCTGTTCACCATTATAAATTTAGTTACACTAAATTTAATGCAAAGGTTATCTGAAGAGTTTGTCGTCCTGATAATGTTCGTCCTGCAGTGACGTGTTAAACTTGCTGACTGTCCCTGTAACTTTTTAGCTTGTTATATTAAAATGTTCTCATTGCTGTTAGTACAGTGAAATCTCTTCTCTGGGACACATTCCTGAAGGGGGGGGGGGGTCCTGGTGAGGGACTGGAGGCTGGTCCGGCTCTCACACCCTGGCCTGTTCTCTTGCAGTGGAGGCCTCAGCCCACAGCAGCCCGGTCCAGTGTTCGGACAAGACCATCGAGGCAGCTGAAGCACTGCTACACATGGACTCCCCCTGCAGCCTGAAGGGGGACCGCAGTCCAGGTGAGAGTACCACCCCTCCCGCTTACTACTGCCCCCTGCTGGTGACTATGGGAATTGTTTGGCCAAGAAATATTTTTGTTGCATGGTTTGCGTCCTCGCTACTCAGGGCGCTTGTGTGTTCCTGCGTGTGTCACAGACGTGTTCGTGCCGCCCTACGTGAACACGCCCGAACTCATCCACGCGGCCATGCGGCCGGACGTGATGACGGAGACGGAGGTGGAGGTGTCCACAGAGGAGGCTGAGCCCATGGAGCTGTGCACCGTGCTGGAGGCCCCGCTGGGCGAACCCGTCAGGAAGAAGAAAGGTATGGCAGCCCCTGTGGGACGCGAGCTGTACGGCAGCAGGGTGAGGGGGGGGGGGGACCAGCTCTCAGCAAGCCAGAGCCCTTAAGGTCTGTTTCTGAGCAGTCGACCTTGAAGGTCGTTCAATCTCCCCCTTCACTGTGACATCAGCACCTCTTCCCCCGTGTCCTGCCCGCTAATTAGAAGTCAAACCCTGTGCGTTTACGTGGCTCCGTTACTCGTGCGAGTCGGTGAACCCGCTCGTCCGTTTCCCCTGCGCTCCAGCGGGCCGGAAGCCGAAGACGCACCAGCCGGCGGTATCCAACGGCTCCCCGGATCCGGGCATGAAGAGGAAACCTCGGGAGGGCCGAGGTGAGCGTGAGCGACGGGCGGGGGGGCTCAGCTCGGCGTGGAGCGGAAGGGCCCATGCGTGACGTCGACGTGTCCCTCCTCCAATCCCACAGGTAACACCACCTACCTGTGGGAATTCCTCCTGGACCTTCTCCAGGACAAGAACACCTGTCCCAGGTACATTAAGTGGACGCAGAGAGAGAAGGGCATCTTCAAGCTGGTGGACTCCAAGGCGGTATCCAAATTGTGGGGCAAACACAAAAACAAACCAGACATGAATTACGAGACCATGGGCAGAGCCCTAAGGTGAGCATGACATCAGACACCCCCCCCCCCCAGGAAACTCCCTGCTGAATTTCCCCAGTGATTGGACGCCAAAACATTCTCTAGATTATATTTTTGGATGGTGCCCTAAGGCCTTGTTTGTAGCGGGAGTTTATTCACCCCCAGGTCCTCCTTGCAGGTATTACTACCAAAGAGGCATCCTGGCCAAAGTGGAGGGCCAGCGTCTGGTGTACCAGTTCAAGGAGATGCCCAAAAACATCGTGGTGATCGACGACGACAAGTCGGATGGCGGCGGCGGTGGCGATGGGCTCCTGGGCACGGAGAAGCAGTGTGGCGGCCGCGTGCCGCCCTCCTCTGAGGCTCTGCTGACTGTGCCCGAGCTGGCCAAGGCCCCCGGCACGCTAAGGGGGGGTGGGCGGCCGCCTGCACATGCCAGCCCCGCCAGGGGGAAAGGGGTGCTCTCGGTGGCCCCCAGCGCACGGATAGTCACGCTGACGGGGGCCACCGAGGTCCCCCAGGGCCAGCAGCAGACCCAAGGAGCCAGCCTCCCCCTGGCCTCTGGGCCCAGGTAAAGCATTGTTCATATGGCTCTTGTTCTTATTTCATGGATCTGGGAATTCTGGGGGCGTGGCCAGCTGGGAGGGGGCGTGGTCAGTCTGGGGGGCATGGCCACGGAGGTGTTGCATCTAATAGAGCATGAACTCTTTAAGCATTTTGTGTTTCCTGACTATGTTTGGGGAAAGGCATGACTGGAGTAGAGCTTCCCTAATGAGAAGGTTGAGATTAGGAGTGTATGAGGCTGGACCGCGTCTCTCCATTGGCGCCTGACGGGGCGTGTTTCCTCAGGACGGTGCGCGTGGCCATGCAGGTGCCCGTGGTGATGACCACATCGCTGGGCCAGAAGATCTCCACGGTGGCGGTGCAGTCGTCCAACTCGCCCATCACCGCCGGCGGTGGCGGTCCGACCAAGGTGGTCCTCCAGACCATCCCCACGGTGGTGCCCGCCGTGGCTGAGAATGGAGAGAAGATCACCGTGCAGCTGGCCAAGATCATCACCATCCCCGCCGCCCAGCTGGCCCAGTGCAAAGGCGGCCTGGGAGGCTCTTCCAGCCTTAACCTGGTGGGGGCGCCTTTGGCGGTTCAGGCACTCGCGCCCATGTCTGTGCCCCCGGGGACGCAGGTGGTGCGACTGGCGCTGCCCGCGCATCAGCAGTCGGCAGGCAGCCAAATCGGGGTGCAGGCTGCGACACAGCTCATCAGCGCCATCGTCAGGCAGGCCGACATGAAGCGGGAGGGCGCGGGCCAGACCCCACCCAGGACGCAGGACTCTAAAGTTCAAGAGGGGGCGGCAGCCGTCCCTGCCGCCGTGAAAGAGGAATCCCCGGAGAGCTGAGATGCCAGGGGCTGGGGGGGCGGGGCTGGGGTATGATGTCACTTGATGGCTCCGATTCTCCGGGCAGCCAGAGACTGTTGTGCTCGCCGGCCGGAAAGAGTGCCGGTCTGGATGAGCTGGATTGTACATCTGCTTCACATTTCAATTGCATTTTGCATAATATAGTCAGAGTGACTTTAAACACCGACGGACTTGACAAGACCCTGTTTTTTTAAAAAGTTCTCCCACAATTCCAAGTGGGACTTTGTACCACAATTTCATATAAGCAGCATGGGGGGGTGAAGAGCAGAAGAATTGAGGGGTGAAAAAAGGGACCAACCCAACACTATAATTACTGACACTATGTATACTGAACACTAGAGGGCGATCAGTGAAATCGAACTTGTAGGGAAGTCACGTTAAACACTTTGTATAAAGGGTTGTTTTTTTTTAAATGATGAAACCAGCAGTTTGACTATCACTGTGTGCACATTGTATCCATGGGTGCTATGTGAGTCTTTCGGAGGCTCCTCTGGGGGGGTTAAAATGCTGATTCTCAGCAGCTTGGAAGGAGGAAGTCAAAGGGACTTTGTATATATCTCCTATACAGTTTATAAAATTTCAAAGCAGCCTTAGATTGATCTATTTCCCCGCTATCTTCAGGTAAATAAGCTTTTTGTGTACAGCCGATTTCCCGCCTTTTTTCTTTTTTTGATACCTTGTACCAAGCGCAGTATTACTCAAACGACATTTTTAGTTCGATGCCTGTTGGCGCTCATGCAGACCTCGCTGTAAGTCCGCCTGCTGTCTAGCCTCAGCATCTCTTCACTGTTTGTTTTTCTGTCTTTCTGCCAGTTTAAAGAAAAAAAAAAACATTTTAGCATGAATCTTTGCAGCTACTGCAGCTCTACATTTTCTTGCATTTATTTTTTAAGTTGAGGGGGAGAGATGTTCGCGTTCAGACTGAACTAGTTTGTATATTCAACATTTGAAGTATATTCTATTTTGTTGTACTCTTGTTTCAAAGTGTATTCAAGTAGATTTTACTGAAATATAAAAAAATTAAACGATTTTGTCTTTCATGCATTGGTTGATGTGTCCCGTCGTCCCATTGGTCGGACTCAGCATTTCATGCATTTTTGCCTCGACTGCAGCACTTGTGCGCTCATGCAATGCACATCAGTGGCTGCAGGAGGCGCTCAGGCGCTGGAGGATGAGGAATCGCTGATGTTCTCTTAAGCTAACTGTAACCCATATACCAAGAACTGAGAAAGCGAAGATCATTTTCATATGCGACTTCGGATATTGGGCGCTTCTGCTGCAATAACAGTAAGCTGTTGGTTTTTCCTTTATAAATGTCCACATTAACCTAGATTTATCAAAAAGTTACAGGTCTTGGTGGGTATTCTACAAAGCAGGGGAGTATTCCATGAAACAGGACTTCTTGCTTAGCCAGATAACTTCTTGGATTTAAGGTAGTCTGGACTAAATGTAACGGAACGAAAAAAAAATCCATTTAGTCCAGACTACCTTAACTTCTTGGATTTATCTGGCTAAGCAAGAAGTCCTGCTTTGTGGAACAGCCCTCCGGACTTCTTTAGCTGGGTTAACTTAAGCTAGAAGTCATGATTGTCCAATGAAAGTTTACGTAAGGAGCATTCCTATTGGACAGTCATGACTTCTGTCTTAAGTTAACCCAGTTAACTCAAGAATCCTGCTTTTGTAGAACGCACATCCCACCTCATCTAAGATAAAAAAAACAAAACAAAAAAAAACGTAGTTTTCATAATTGCCACTGGGTGGCAGTGTGCTTCCAATAAGAAGCAAGTCACTTTTTTTTTTGTTTTTGTTTTTTTTCCCTTTCACTTCTGAAGACGGGGTTGCTCTTGTAATATGGTAGGAGCCCATGTTTGCTGTGCTTAGCAGCTGCATGACATTGAATTCCTATGCTGCACATATGAATAGTCTTGAGAAAAAAGATTTTAAGAAAAGCATTGCAAGTGGACAGGAAACCAGAGGAAATGTACGCAACACGGGGAGAACACGTGACAATGTCAGTCCTGAGAAAAGCTATTCGAAGCAGAAAACATACAAGACGAACTTGGGTTTAAATACCTTTGAGGGGTTTAGCTACTAGGGGGCTTTTCCAGCTGTTATTGCTCAACTCTGCTGGATCTGGAAGACCATAGCAGAATGAATCCTGGCTAGTTTCTGGCTCACCGAGGAGACCAAGACATTTAAGAGCAGAGTTGACATCCAGTCGAGAAACGGCAGTATTAAGCATAACATTTTATTATCGGGAAGCGAAAAGTAACACCACTATTGCACTTACGCATGTAACAGTCCCTTGCCACGAGGGAACAGGATTACCCATAAGTCTGTGCCAGGGGTGGCTTATCTTATCCGCAAAAGGACGGTGTGTATGCGGGTTTTCGTTGCAACTCCCTAATTAGATTACTAATTAGAGGACTGATTGGCTGAAGAGTCCTCGCACCTGGGTTTGGACAGCTGACCTACAGGTTATCCCAAAAACCTGCATCCACACCGGCCCTTTGCGGATAAGATTGGCCACCGCTGGTCTATGCAGAATAAGTTAAGGATTCAGCTGCAATGAACTAGAACAACACATGGCAGCTGAATTTGCATATCATGGAATCGCATTCACAAAATGTTCAGTTAGAAATTTGACAGTTTATAACACAGGTTAGTATGATGGCACACGGCCACAGCTGCTTTGGGTCCCACAGCTGCTTTGGGTCCCGCATCTACCGACCAACATCCCAGGTGCGCTTACTCTACCCCGACCCCACAAAGGAGAGACCTGCGGTCAGTCCGGCCTTCTCTGATCCTGGAGTGACAGTATCCAGCAGGTTTTCAGGTGCGGTTCGTCGTCAACTTGCTGAATACGGCACTCCAGAATAGGGGGTTACCCAAGCCTCTCCTACAGTATACCCTAACAGCACAGTGAAGGAAAACGATCAAAGGCGGCCCTGTTACAGGGGGCGATATATTTCATTCACACCCCAGTTATGCAGCATTTGCAGAGCATTTCACCTTCAATGCATAAAAACCTGTAACAAACAATTTTTAAGATAAAAAAATAAAGGCACAAAAACTCAAACAGTCCTGTTACTTTAGATCAGCGGTGGGGAAGCTGTAGCATGGGGGGTCGGTGTGGGTGCAGTTTTTTCAGGATGGTCTGTCAATCAGCCAATAACAGTGGGTCCCCAGGACCGGAGACCGCTGTTTCATTATTGGCTGACTGGATTAACTGTTCTGACAGTAAGAGGATCAGGTCTGAAATGGCAACACAATAACTGAGACCTTTTCAGTGACAAGCCTTGGGCCCCACTCTACTAAGACTTCAGAGCAGCACAAACAAAACAGCTTTCAACGAATAAAAAAAAGAAATAAGTTAGTTTTGGTCGACTTGTGCAGTTTGAAGGTAATAAATAGTTCGGCCGGGTTCTCCGACCCGGTCCTTAGGGACCTACAGTAGCCGGTCGGGTTCTTCCCGGAAGCTGACGTCACACACCAGGGACAGGTGGTCCGACGGGTAGCTGTAGGAAGGCAGGCGGTTTGGTCCGATCTGCGCCTCCGTGGGGAGATCCAGGACGGAGTCCACACGCAGGGCGTGCCGCGAGTACCAGATGTAGTCGAGCGTGTGGCAGACCTCGCCGGAGGGCCGGATCTTCCAGGTCGTGTAGGGCGGCTCCGTCTGCCCGTCTGCGCTCAACAGCTTGCAGGCGCTGTCCAGGTTGAGGCCGGACGTGGCGAAGCGGCGGTAGACGTCCTCGCAGGGCTCGGCGTTGAAGTCGCCGCAGACCAGCAGCGGCACGCTGGTGCCCTGGGCCGTCTCCTCCAGCGCCTGCAGTAGGTGGGCTCCCTGGGCGCTGCGCAGACGCTCCCAGCCGCAGCAGGCCTTCAGGTGCGTGACGGCCACACACAGGCGGCGGCCCGTCGCTCGGCACCGCAGCGTCTGCATGATGGCCACCTGGTTGGTGTCGAGCGCTGAGGCAGCCAACTGCAACCCCACGCTTCCCGCCAGCTCGAAGCGGTCGCGGCGGACGAAGAGGGAGCAGCCGTCGGGGCCGTTGTTGTGCTCCACGTCCAGGCAGGGCGAGCGTGGCTTGGGCTGGAAGGTGCAGTGGTATCCCAGTCTGCCCAGTACTGGCTGGAAGGTGTCGAAGTAATGGTCGACCTCCTGCAGGCACACGATGTCCGGCCGGTATGTTAGGATCTCTTCCAGGATGAGGTACTTGCGCTCCGCCCAGATCAGAGCGTCGGGTGGGCAGCGCACAAAGCTGTCCTTGCCTTCGCCGAGGGCTGTGGAAGCAGACGGAAAACAGACCACTGACCAAATGTGCCTTTAAATGTGTCTACATGCATTTATAAATACTGTTAACAGTCAGTAAGGCTTTATCAGACTTTAGAAAATCGATGAGGTCACAGCCGGTTGGTTAGTTAACTGAAATTTTCATGCCATGCAAGCAGCTGGGGATCTATTCATGGAAAAAGCTTGGTCACACACGAGTTTGTAATTTATAAATAAGTAACCTGAGAAGATAAACACTTAGGGTTCCCCAGTTCCGCTCCTGGAGGGCCAGTCTGCAACACAGTTTGCAGATTTCCATGGTGGAAACCATCTTAATCAGCATTTTACCAGGTTTAGTAGGTGTGTTTGAGCAGGGCAGTCTGCAAACTGTGTTGCAGACTCGCCCTCAAGGACAAGAATTGTGGAACCTTCAGATATAAATAAGGCACTTTTCACATGCATTTCTGAAAGTATAGAAATGCCTCCGATTTAGCCTTAGTAAAAACATCTTGCAAAAGTATTGACTGGAAGAAACATCTAAAATATCAGGACTGCACGAAATCACATTAATATGATATTCTTGATTTGTTTTGCTATACTAATGCTGTGCCGACAGGAACAATTAATCTGGACAACTTAAGTTATCGAATAGGACTGTGCGTGCCACCTGTAGTTGCGATCAGTGACAGTAAGAGGGCAGTAGTGAGACACGTTACCTTGGGCCAGAATGTTCCACTGCATGACGCGGATGGAGTGGTGCTGTGGGGCTTCAGGCTGGACGGTGATGAAGCGGCGGTGCAGCCGGGGGGGGCGGCCGCGCAGCGCCTGCTCGCACTCCCGCAGCACGTCGTCCGCGTCGCCCCCATCGGACGGCGCCGGCTGCTCCGGCTGGGCGAGGGCACTGTACAGCCTGCTGGTGCTGCTTCCCATGGAACCCACTGTGAAGGCAGACGGGCGCATTAGTGTGAGGGAGAGGAACCCAACAGGAACATGCACATCAACTCAAGCAGCTGGCTTCCCTGTAGGAGTGCACAATGGGGTCTCTCTGCCCAAACTCCAGGGGCCTTGAATGGGGCATCCCGGCCCACAGAAACCCCCCCCCCCAATACACTTTTCCTGTACAAATCCCACTGCCTCCCCACCATATTGAACACCAAGTGAAAGTGCCTTGACACCCCCCACCCAACATGACAAAACTCCAACTTTGACCTGCATAGCTCTCCATCAGGAGATCAGAAGGTCTTAGAAGGCATAACCAGAGATTAAATACATGATAGACTTTCAATTAACCAGTTTGTTCTGAATGGCTCCCATTATGCTCTGATGTTCTCATACATAAGCAGTCAGGGAGGGAGGATGGATGGATGGTTTTTCCACATCTCACTTCTAGTTATGTCACTAACAGTTACAACTTGAAATATTTCTTCAGTATAACATTGTAAATGAATAAATTCTATTATGGCAATATGACTGTAGCCATCCATCCTGGTCAAAGTATGACTGGTCGACAAACATCCAGAAATTCACACCCTTACAGTTCCTATGTTTCCATCTTTTGTTTATTTTTTATTTTATTTCTCACTAGGCGACACCACAATAACGGCAAACATTCAAACAGCAAATGTAAATACATTCGGTAATTCTCATTTTGGGCGTACGCTGCCCTCTGTACACACTCCCACAATGCACTGGACCAGCATTCAATGTATGTGACAAATCATGTCACTCACTTCGGTGACACTCATTCGCTTTGGGTGTGTTTATCCACTGTGACCTGAAGGCGAATACTCTGGCACAAGCTGGTGGCCTCCCCCCCGGCCTGCTGTGGAAAGTCTTAGCTGGGGGGGCCGAGATATTTTTAACTGGAGCTGGTCACTGTGGAAATGTCACAGGCACGCATCTGGATAAGATGACAGTGGCTGCGCTCCTGAGGGGAGAATGGGCAGCAGGCATCGTGAGGAAAGAGGTCGGAGCGTGAGGCAAAGGGTCCCAGGCCCCTGAGCCGGCCTCCGAGTGCATTGTGGGTAATGAGAAAAGCAATGTGACACATGCAGAGACCGATGACCCCTGGAATATGAAGCTAGCTGCAGTATCTACATAGCGTAGCGTGGCCTTGAGTCACAAGACCCCAGTGGTGTCCAGAACTGGTTCAAGAGGCCAAACGTATCACTTAACAAAAAGCATCAGGCCTGTCGATCTGGATACACGAAGAGAGAAGCACCAGCCCTCGTGAAAGACACCGAAATGCCCTTTCACCATGAAATGCACTAAAAGTTTCCAATAGAACATCTGCATGAACAGTATCATTAAGTTCTGATTCGTAAGGTCATGCAATAAGAGAAGCTTTCGATGGATGTGTCCACAGCACTAGATATAAGGATATAAAGTCACCCATCCGAGTCTTACTATGGCTAATCGCTGACGCCCAGAACCGCTATCAACACTGAATCAAACGCCGTACGCTGTCGCACGGTAGCCTTTCTGCGTTAGCTTCCAAGAGTTGGCCCATGTCCATCGGTTCTGACCCGACAAACAGGTGACCCGATCTCACAGCATGAGCAACTGCACGGCCTTACCGTTAAACAAGGAGCCCGTGTTCAGCTGCAGGCGAGATTACGCAAATATCGGTTTGCTCTGCTCCAAGATTGGAGGCCGAGGGTGTCCGTCGGCAACCAGTGTGACTTTGTAAACGTGAAGCCTTCAACAGACACACCCAGATAAAGGCTGGCGCTCTCTGATTGGGCAGAGTAAGCAAAATGTCAGCGGCTGTACAAGGTCATCGGTGAGTGTGACTCTGCAGGGCGCCACCTGCTGCCCACTGACGTACACGCATGCTGTTTGCCAGCACACCTATAACAACCCTAATTTTACTCTCCCAGCTACAAATTTATGTTCAAGGCATTTTTATTTAACATGCTCTGGACCAGGATAAGTGGCTGGGAGATATTTTCTGACAGTTTACAAACCAAAATCTTATCTAAACACAAACAAACCTGGCATACAAATTTTGCCAGGAAACTGTTTGGCTAACAAAAGTTAAACATTTCATACTGATCCCAAATAAATATAAAAACAGATCTTAGAGGTACAGAAAACATAAAAATATCAGTGATAAGATCCTTTCATCTTATTTACATTTTTTTTCCATACTGTCCTCAACACCTGACCTGACCTCAGCATCAGCCCATGATGATTAAGGTAGAACTTTATTCAGAAGACCCAGTACAAAACCCAGAACATAGTTCCCATGTCACAGTCAACCTCAGCAAAGCAGAAGATAACTTTACCGCTTTTCAGTCTTTATGCACTGGCGCATGCCTATTGCTATGGCAACAATCTCCAAACACATCCTTAAACAAAGATTTAGTTTGGGGTTGGAATGAAATGAGCTTTGAGAAGACCAGACAGGACAGATACACTGATCTCCGGTGCAAGGAACCATCAACACAGTTGCAGTCTCCCTTAAGATGAGTTATTAATAATAATAATAATAATAATAATAATAATAATAATAATAATAAAAATACAAATGGAGGGTAATGATAACCTGTGAGAATAGCTTAATTTTATTTTTGGAACTTTAACCATAACAGCAGTGCATGTCCAGCCTCTGAAATAGATAACGCATCTGAAAACCATCCGACCAGCCTCGATGGTTTTCCTCTAAATAACAGAGGGTCATTTGTTAAACGGCTCACTGCTTCAAAAATCAAATGTTAGTTAGTGCGGTGATGATTGACGGGGCGAATCTTAAGCTTAACCTTCTTCGTTGGCACATCACTAAGAAGACGGGATACGGGGGATGAGTCATGATCTCGGATGTGGGTTCGGTTGCTCACACCTAACAACACCACGGTGGAAGACAATTAATTACAGTAATTCGGTGTAATGTAGTGAGTCATCAGTTAGACTCAATGCCCTTTACAGAGTCAAATATTTCTTACATATTCAGAGACAGAAGTGACGGGATAGCACGGCTAAGGACGTACATTAAGTGATTTATAGTACGTGCTGCTTCATTAGCAGATAAACCCACTTTCTCCAAACAATAAAACACAAGTCAGCTCCCTAATAAAAGCTAAGGGACCGACATCCACTGATCCAGCAAAAAACGGCGACATTTAATTAACTGTATTAAGTTTATGACAGTGCAGCGATTTTTGCATCCGTTATATGGGGGGTTTGGATTTTTTTGTAACATACCTACATAAGGGTGTTCAGTACTTTATATAAAATGTATTATTGTGTCACATACACCGGCATCCCATCCACTGGGTACCACGTGCACAGACTGCAGACCACCACGACCGCGATCAGGATAAGCGGATAGGATGGATGGACGGATGGATGTATTATATAGGTTTCTAGGTAACAGCACATAGACATAGACACAGACACAGACAGACAGGCGCCCCCCATGCGCCCCCCGGACCGCACACTCGCCTGTTCTGGAGCTCGCCGTCGCCGCTGCCGTCGCTGCCGTCGGCTTGACACTCATGCCGTCCCCACAAACCGTGTGGCAGGACGCGGGGGCCGGGGAGAGCCTCCTCAGCAGGGCCGACCTCCGGACAGGCGAGCCCAGCGAGGACGCGGTGAACGCCGGTAACTGGAGAAGCGCCGAGCACAGCCTGGCCGAGCCCGGATACATACCTGGCCTTTTAAAACTGCGACAGCGGTGACGCTCACGCTAACTTGAATCAACCAGCGATGCCTTTGCGACACGGACTTCCGAAATTCATATACACTGTTACAGCGTGGATAATGCCGTCCGGCCGGGGTAACAGCGGAACAAGCCGACCGGCACATTCGTAAAGAGTTTCATCACGCATCCGCTTGACGTAAGAGGTTGGGAATTACCATACAGCGCAGCGGGGGGGGGGAGCGGCGAACTGGGAGACGATAACCTCCATATTATACTGTACAGAACGCAATTTATGCGTTGAAAATTGTAATATATTCATTGTTAAGGGTTATATATAATATTATGAATAAATAAATTCTCCCACGAAACTTAGGGAAAAAACGGTATCCCCCCTATTTTCAAAAACAATGGGCTGGTCTACAGAGAAAAGCCCTTCGTGGGCTGGGCGGTTCCATGGGTTCTCGGTGTACTATTGGTATTGCTGACGCAAGTAAAGGAAGGAGGGAAGATTAACTCCTACCCTCCCCGCTTACATACCTCATGACGTAGTTATTTCTCCAAATTAACGTCCGGTTTTTTCAAGGAGATAGAAGTTAACCAATTCAAGTTACAGTATGTACTGTTTTATGGTATAATCAGTGTTGGGGAAGTTACTCACAAAATTAATCTATTACAGAAAGTGGTGGAAAGTTTAGGTTCATAAAGTACCAGTACACAGACTAAGGTTTTGTTTCAACCAACCAGTTGAGTATAACGAGTCACAGTCACTGATTTCTCAGCTGGTTGGTTGAAACAAAATCTTGGTCTGTATTTGTAATTTCTGGACCTGACCTTTCCATCTCCATCTGCAATGGATTACTTTCGTGAGTAACTAACCCAAAACTGAGTATAATATTATGGCTGTTGCTGCATACATCGTGCTTTTTTACAGAATGTGTGCTGGATAAGTGTTCAAGGAACATAAGTTGCATGTTTCATCGACAAAAGCTCATTCTTCAATTAAGGATTTTTCGTTGACAAAAACAAGAAGATAAAATAAAAAATAATATATGACGCCAAAAACTATGACGAAATGTACTGACACTTTCATAAACTCATGAAAATGAGGCAAAAATGTAAGGAAGGATAAACCCCTCTGAATCAACATGTCAGATTTGTACCTGTTAAGACATCGAAAATGAACATGTTAACATGTCCATTTCTGACGTCTTAAGACGTTTGGATCATTAAAGCTTCCATGCTATTGGTTGGCATTATATACCCACCCACTCTGATGTAAGGAAAAGTAGTAAAGATGTCCCAATGTTCTTGGTTGATCATGTGAATACAGACAGTGTTAGCTATTAATGATCATGGGGGAATGATCAAGGGGAAGCCAGGGAGAGAATTTTTCACAGTATTTTTTACTGGTCAATAAAAACACCATTTTGCTGAAACTGTGGAGACTCTGCAAGTGGTTTCCTTACACTGATATAAGAGCTCGATCGGGCTATGCATTAGCTCACATTACGGGCATGTGGGATCCATGTTTTGGCTATGCTGTATGACACTGGCTCTACGATTGGGCAGGTATCTATCACGCTTCTTAAGTGCAAACGTGATGTAACAGTCGATTTGTGCGGGTAATTTTGAATTCTGGGGGCTGAGGAGAGCTCAGAATCACCTCCAGAAACTTCACTCACACATGTGCTCAAAATATATGTAGTGGCAAATTTTTAACATTTAAATATACGTGGAACATATTGTACACATTTGTGAAATATATGTTTGAAGACACTGCTTAAAAAAATTTAAGTATAGCATCAAGTCAATTAAACTTCTGGGGTATTGATCTGGTCAGTTAAGTAGCGGAGGGGGGTGTTAATCTGTTTCAGCTGCTTTGGTGTTAATGAAATTAACAAAAAGTGCATTAGAGGGGCATCAATGAAACCTAAATCCAATAGAACCCCTCTGGGGCATTATGTTCGGCCCATCTGATGCCGCAAGGTTGCACCTCAGACTGTCCAGGAACTCAGGGATGCCCTGGTCCAGATCAGGGAGGAGATCCCCCAGGACACCATCCGTCGTCTCATTAGGAGCATGACCCGACGTTGTCAGACAAGCACGTGGGGGTCATACAGACTACTGAGTACGATTTTTGAGCTGTAATGAAATTTCAGCAAACTGGACTAGCCTGCCGCATCATTTTTTCACTTTGATATTTGGTGTGTCTTTGAATTCAGCCCTCTGTAGGTTGATAATTTTCATTTCCAACAAGCGATGTGGCATTCTGTCATTCCTAAGACATTAACCAGTCCATATCAGTATAGATACCCAGCATGATTTTTTCCCATTGAGATCTGATGTGTTTTCAAAGTGTTACTTTAATTTTTTGAGCAGTGTATATTTGTTTTGCATACAGGTGGGGTATCGTTTTCTCTCTTGTAATGATTGTACATACAGTTTCCCCCCAGAAACTGATTAAGTGGTAGTACCCAAATTTGGACGTCTTGAGACATCGAAAATAAATGTGTTAACATGTAGATTTTTAACCTCTTAAGAGGTCAAAATTTGACCTGTTGATTCAGAGGCTTTTCGCCCCGATGGCATTCCAAAGAAGAGACGGATTTGAAATTTAGGTATGATTGGTTAATGTTCATGCAACCAGTGTCACGCCCAGCTCGTCTGAGCCTCGTGTGTGCCACGCCCCCCTCGTTACCTCGTGTTACTTCCCGATTGTCATCACCTGTTGCCTGTTGTTTGTTGCCTATCCTGTGTATTTAGTCCGCGTCTGAGTTAGTTTCCCCAGATCCGTCATTAATGTTGGTTACCGTGTTGTCCTGTCCGCCTGGAATAAACCCGTTTATTGGATCCTCGTCTGCTTGCCTGATCTTTCCCCGCGTCCTGCCTGCTTGCCGGACAGCAGTCGTGACAACCAGTTTCAAGTCTGTAAACATGCATCCATCTGACAAATGGGAATCAGGTAACTGGTTGGTGACTGGCCCCTACTCTTGGCAAATTTTATCATGAGTGACCACGCCCACAGTTCTTATTTTGTTTTAGTTTAAAATACATTTTACTTTAGTTCTGTTTTTTCTTTCAATATTCAGTTGGATAGCAGTCTGGGTGGTGTAAAAAAAACAACAAAACAAGACATGTGGCATTTAACAATATGAACAGATATGGAATAGTGAACAGATGTGCAAAGTACAAGTGGACAGGTAGTGTAGTGAACAGATGTGTAAAGTACAAGTGGACAGGTAGTATAAGGAGCTGTGGTGCATGGAGGCTGACAGACCTGCTGTGGATGTGAGTCGCACAACCGTCAGCGTTTGAAGTCAAATACAAAAGCAACGAAAAACCAACTAAAACTAAAAACTAAAAGCAAGTCAGATACAAAAAAAACACACACACATGTCTCCAATTCCTGTTAGGGGTTTTGTCCATGTCAACACAAAACAATGAAATGTAATCAGCCATTTTATGAAAATGTATGCAAATACATGAGATGGGCCTTAACTTTCTATAACTAAGGGTGCTGGTTTGGCAGATAGTCTAAAGTCCTTTGTTATTTGAATAGTTTAATACTTTAATAGTTCAACACGGCTGACTCAGATCCTGTGGTTGCACCTATATGTCTTTACATAGCTCTGTCTACTGCTACTTACGTGTGTTTTTTTGTTGTTTATTCCTACCTAAATTATCCTTTGTTGTATTTATCTCTTCAGTGGTCCTGGGGGCTCAGTAAAGTGCTCTTAACAGCTAGGCCTAAATCCACATTTAAAA